TATCAAATGGAAATCCCCAAATGAAGTACAAGTACCTTGAGCACATGTACTACTACTGTTTACTGTGAGATTTACTGTCATTTTGTCAGCTGTGCACCACTGTCACTGCATAAATAAATTATTTCACTAAAATTGAACATCTAATATATATTACAAATGCTCATGTCATTGTTTCAACTATTGTATAATGAATACATATGGCGTAATATGGCATGGAATCTGCAAGGGGTGGTTATGTTACACATCCAGGCCACTTTATTAGGTACACCTATAAAAATTAAGTGCAATCCAACTGATCTGCATCAAATTCTATATATATGAAGATAATGTTCTGCTTTCCCCCAACACTGCCAGAGAGGTGTAAACTGTATATTTATTACTCTTAGAGGTGCCATTGAACTGGATTGTAATGCATTGAAATGTGTTTTTAGTGTTGAATGACACCTCTTAATATAGGCTAAAGTTCAACACCACGGCAACTTTTAACCTCAAAAACTATTATAAATTTAAATTGACACCTCAAACAAAACTGATGCAACTGAGCTGTTGTTTGGGAATGCGGTAGATTTTAAAGGTGTACCTAATAAAATGGTAACTGAGTGAAAATTGTCAATGCTAGTGAGCAATAACAGTAACACACACATGCACATACACATGACACATGGAAACATTTTTGGAAAAACACCGCACGGCATGTGATCTCAGGGTAATGGTGTTTATGGTTGTTTTTCATGATTTCGCAATCCGCCTGCTGAAAAGAAGAATTACAGGCTCAACTCAGGGTTCTCTCAGGGTTTATAACAAATCAGTTACATTCCTTTAACTATTTGTAATGAAATAAAAAACAAGAGTTTTGTGGAAATTATTTTGGTGTAATAAAACCAAACATGTTATCCGTCTCGTTGTGTTTGCTGTAGTTTCTCATATGTAGCCTCCATTATGTCACAACTTTCAATTGTCGATTATATCAAGTGCATTTACAGCATTTTTTTTATATTTTAACAATGTTTAATCTTTAACAATGTCTTTTTATGTACTTCTTTTATGATCTGATACAAAATTCTGAAACTTTGGTTGCTCTTTCCCACAGAGGCTGACACTATGTAGTTTTAACTGCACTGCAGCACCTGGGGCTGGTATGGATTCAGTGTCTTGTCAAAGGACATTTCATCAGGCCAAGCTGCACTTTATAGGAATAATGGTGGTACTGAGACTTAGCACTAGGGCTGAAAAACAGTGGATTAAATCACTCGGCCTTTATGTCAAACACAAATCAAAAGAAAAAAACACCAACAAAAAAGCAACCAGCTCTTATCGAAGCCGGGATCATCCTGACCATATGACATGAAATGGATTCATTTAAAGTCCACCTTCAAGGAACTGAATCTGAAAGACAACTTCCCAGTTCCTCATTTGACAATATGTCACTCTTGGTGTGCATGCACTGTATTCTGCATGTACTTAATCTCTTAGGCCACAAGGAAGACTGAGAGAAGTAGAGATTCAAGGCCTCTGAAAAGTCCTTACAAAAGCTTCACAGAAACAAAGCAAAAACCCGATCAGAAAAATCATCTAAAACGTCATAAAGTTGATACAGCGACTAGTACAGCAGAGCTGAACATCGCTTGAATTGAATACAGTTTTCAGTTACACATTAGCAGGTGCAACAGTGATAATGTTTTTAATCCATTTTATTTTGACCATCTCTTCAGTCAAGACTTCAGCTGAGGTGACTTTACCACACTGGATGAAGTAATGTGCTTCTTTTCTTTTAAGATGTTGTGAGAGATTTATTTCTCATATATAAAGTGGTCCACAAAATGATGTTATTGTAGTGTGTTACGTTTCTATAAAGTCAGAAAAGTACACACAAAAAGCAATATCTTGGTCCTACTGGCTGACAGTCAAACCCATTAAACGCATTAAGTTCATTTTAAAATAGATTTTAAGAATGAATCAGATCCATTCACTTGACATCATTGCTTTTCTAATTTCAGCTCTCAAATAACTGCAATAAGTTCTTAAAGTCTTATAGACTGGTGCATTGGATCATCACGTCTCGCTCACCGGTGCCGGTGCTGTTTGCCTGTAGGAATTTTACCTGATAAAGGTTTGTGGAGCGATGAACAATGAGCAGGATTTTTTGGGTTCTTTTAGAGATCAATTCACACCCAAAGTTATGTGCATAAGTTTGAGCAAAACAATGGAGATGCAAATATTTATTCTCCTGGTTTACCACAACAGTTAACATGACGCTTTGACTCATCAGACAGCTTTGACAAACCTTTCTTTGAAGTAAACCACTTCATAAAAGATGATCAGTAGTGGTAGTACATTTACGTCAGTACTGTACTTCAGAACAGTTTTGAAGTACTTGTACAAAACTTCAGTATTTCAATTTTAATGCAACATTATACTTCCACCCGGCTACATTTCAGAGGGAAGCATTTTACTTCTATACTCCGCTACATTTATTTCAAAAATATCATCAACAAATAATGATGAACCTTTATCAGCTGCAAAACTAAAGTGATGTTAATAGATTTAAAAGTAAGTTACACAATAAAACAAGTAACATAATAAATATTACTCTGACATGGGACATTCTGCATAATTAGTTCTTATAAGTAATAACTAATAAGTACTTTTGATACTTGGTTTATATTTTGATGCTAATCCTTATTATAACTTTGAACTTTACAGTGTAGTATTAATACTTTTACGCAGGTGAAACATCTGAGTACTTCGTCCACCTCTGAAAATGATAGCACTTACTTGTTATTACCAAATGATGATCAGGTAAGTTTAACAACTGAGCTGCTATTAGTATCAATTTATTAATACTTGTCAATGCTCTACATCAACACAGTTAACTTTAAGTATAAAAAATGACTTAGTATTATACTGTAAGTTGAATTTTACTTAGTAAAACATCAACAGAGTTTGGCAAAGAACACATTTTAAACAGTCACATTGTCACGCAACATGAACAAAAAGCCACCAGAAAAAAAAAAAAGAAACAAAAAACATTGTGTTTTGGCTTTACTGAAAATAGTTGTGATGGAAATAGTGCCTGGTTTTCTGCAGCTGTGTATTAATACTCTTGGAAAATGCTACTGTATATGCCGTCAGTTTTGCTCAACCAGCTGTGATTAAGATGGGGGCCGGTCGGGGGCTGGCCACAGTCTGTGTGGTTTTAACAGCTCCCCAAACAGAGATTCTGACGATTATGGTCTTCTATCAGTTAAAAAGGAAAACAGGGTGACAGATTGATCAAAAACATTTGAAACTACATCAGAAATGAAGACAGAATTTCACAGTTTAGTTATGATATTGTTAATGAGAAGATGAATGGTGTATGAAACTTGGCACACAGTATAACTATTTGTAAATGTTTCCAATGAAAATCACTATCTGCTGCAGCTTCATCATAAGTGTTCCTCTGTGATTAATGTGCTTAGGTAGCTAAGCTCTCAGCACCTAGGAATAAGCATACTGATGTTAGTTAGGAGATAAACATAACCACAGCACTTCGATGTTACAGAGTAATATTTCCAGCACATTGCCTTATCAGAGGGCTGCAGAGCTCTTCTTAAACCGGCAGTGCTAAGAATATACACTCAGATTTGTGCTGCACTGTTACTGTACCATTCAACCATTATCTCAGCATCTGTAAATATTCAGTATCTTCAGTTTTTACAGTTGCCCTAATATGCTCAGAAACTGGTAACCAACATATTTAACATTTTTAACTTTTATTTTGAATCAAACAAACACAGTTTCTGCATTTTCTTGGTTGGTCATTGTTGTTTTGCAGTAGAGGGAGTCACCCCACCCCACCCCAGGCATTGTTCTAGAAATATCTTAATTTACCTCAGTGTAGTTTCAACACAAATACTTTACCTCCATCTTATCTTCCAGATGTGTGTGTGTGTGTGTGTGTGTGTGTGTGTGTGTGTGTGTGTGTGTGGGTGTGTGAGTGAGTGTGTGTGTGTGTGTGTGTGTGTGTGTGTGTGTGTGTGTGTGTGTGTGTGTGTGTGTGTGTGTGAGGGTATGTTTGTGTGTTGACATTTTTTCCTCCAAAAACTGTTTACATCAGCAAACACCATGTTTCAGTCATTTTGTTACAGTGCACACTTTCAGTCCGTCAGTTTCAGGACTGCATGGTTGTTTACAATGTACTGGCAACTAAAAATAATATCTGTTGCCACAGTTAACACTGTCTTTGTTGTGCATGTGATTTGTAAATTCTAGTGCATCTGCCTAATAAATGTTTTATATATATAACATTTTCTAGAGTCATATTAATGCTCCTATTAATGCATGATTAAACAAACATGGCTAATAAAGCAGAATCTTCTTGTTATTGATCACAAAGGACAGAGTATTATACATTTGATGAACATAGTCAGTTTGTTGTTATAAGGGTAACATGTTGCTTTAAACCCCCAATCTAGCATGTATAACCATTTAATAACTGGTTTATAACACATGGTAATGTAGCTGTGCACATATATAAGGACAGTACAGTATTTGTCAATAATTATGAATTACTGGCATCAGCAAAGATACATTAATCAAAACTTTAAAAATGTCTTCATATCTGTGTGCAACCACATTGTAGTGTGTAATAGACCATTTTAAAATGCTTTTAGACAGCCAATTAATTCTAAAATAAAGTAGTAGTGTATCCACTAAGCCTTGTATAACCACACTTTTCACTGGATGACTGTATTGAGGTTGAGACCAAAGCATGCAGTCATTTTAATGAAAAATATCTTAAAAGCACAAGACATGAATAAAATCAACCAGACTTAAACATTAAACATTCAACAGTAGATTGTTGCACCCAGTGTTAACCACCTGTAAGACTTTTTTTTTTTTTGGCGGGGGTGAGAATGTGAGAAAAACCCTTGTTGATGATTGGCTGCAGAGGAAGGGTAGAGTAGATAGACCCTGATAAAAATTTCTTGGTCTTCTCTGACAAATCATCAATGGCCAGGAACCTTTAGCAGACACACTCTACTGCTCCCACCCACACAATTTTTACAGAAGTCAAAAGTTCCTTTTTCATTTCACAGTCAAACAGGAGCCCTTGCTTATTTCATTTTATTTGACACGGCTGAAGGCCTCCGAGAGTAGTTAAGGTCATAAGTGTATGCTATACAATAAGAGAGAGAGAGACATCTTTTGGTTTTCGTTGAATGAAAGGAAATTTTGAAACATTGTGCAATGGTGCCGCTAAAGTTTTGAAAGGTTGTGAGAGTGTTTTGCCAGCAAAGCGTCTGAGAGTCGGACCGTTGGAGAAGAGGTCTCCATGTTGCATCCATACAGAATGGAGAGCTACCTCATCCCGCCTGTAAGTATGATTTGTTTTTTATTCATATCTAAACACTGAGTTGACTCTTTAATATCTGAGGCTTAAAAGAGCTCCATGGGTAGTTTGTTTTAAACGCAGTGTTAAACTGAAAACACGTTTCATATTCAAGAGAAAGGACAACATAAGTTCACTATTTCAAATTACATGACTTAATGTGAGTCTACTTCAATTTGAATACAGGATACAAAGTGTAAGAGTCTTTTATACTTTGGCCATCGTGAAAATGAAACTCAAAAGCTCTTGAGAGTTTCAGAACAGCAGTGGCAAGGAAAACATTTTTTTTTTTTTTTTTAACAAATATTGCTAATGCCTCGTCTAATTTACAAATGTAAACATATCTAGAAACAATACGAACGTTTTATGAAAGACAGATGGTGAGTATTTATATTTCCTTTAAAGGATTAGATGAGTAATGATCTAAGGTGTCGTCTGCACCACATACACTAGTAGAAGATTTTTCTTTCATGATATTTTGTGGCTGAAAATGTTTTAATTTGCTCTTGCAGCACTCAGAAGAAATGTATGAACCAGAGATCTACAGACACCAAATTGCAGAATATTATAATCCATATGTCCTAGATGCAGATATCCAGGCAGGTGAGTTTTACTTCAACAGTGCTTTTGTCTCATGTGAACATTGTTTGAGTTGAAATCGCCAGTTGCTCTTTTAAATCACAGTGGGTTATATTCAAATTTAAATGTATTATTTATATATAAAAAAACTATAAAATTCAAACAAATAATGATGATGATTGCTGGGGTAAATGGTAATGACTTGAACTAAATCCACTGGAGTGAATCTTGCATTCGACACCGTGCTCTCAGTTTCCATTAAAATAAACTAGTCATTTTAGTCATCTCTCTTATTTTCCAAATTAACCACCATGGCCCGATGTGGTGACACTGACTTTTCTGTTGCATTGTAAGCCTACATAAAAAGCCTGCAGTGTGCAGCTGGAGCACACCACATTAGGGTGTATGGAACACAGGAAACAGATGCCATTTCTTTCGGCTGCTACGACTACAGACATAGAACAACTTTCGCCCCATGGGGTTTTATTGATACAAGAGAGGTGCTTTACTTTCTCTTGTAATCAACTGTTTTGAATACTGCACCAAAACAACATAAATAGCATGTGCCTGGGGTTGGGAGGGTGGGGGTGATCTTACAGTGTTACAATGGGTGTATGACAAGGCTTTACTATCTAATTTAATTTATATGTTTTAAGAGTATACGGTGTATTTTGGATTAGCAGTCATGTCAAACACTTGTTCATCTTTATCTGGCTCTCCTCTATTTCCCTGATTAGCTCACACTTAAAATATGTCTAACTCTTTAAAACATTTAAAGTCAGCTTCTTGAATTTTTTTTTTTTTTATCTACCCGTTAACTATATTCAACTATATTCTGTGGGAAATAGGGGTCAATGACCATGTGAAAAAGAGTCAAGGTTTTACAGTCAACGGTTGTGGCCACACTGTTAGTGTGGCAACAAACAGGAAAGAGCTTCATGCTGAATTCTCCATTATTCTCCTCATTTTGTTTCAGTTTATGCGGACTCTAGCACTATGAGTAAGCACCTCACTGTCAACTGCAGTTGTTTTTGACTTGGTACTTTATGACAAAGATAAATTTTCATAGACAGACAGTCTAGCTTTTTCCATGAGTCATCTTTAAACATGTGTTTTTACTACATCAAAATATATTTAGTACAATTTCTTGAGTTTTGTATGGAGCTGTGTTTGACTTACAATTTCAACAACTGTTGATACAACAAAGCACTGATATTAAGATACAATAGGCTGTGGCTATTATGCTGTTTCTCACCTTCTTTATTTAGATCACTGGGACTACCACCCTCACCCTCACGTACACCCTGCAGAGTTTGAAAACCTTCAAGAAACCAACTTCACAGAGCTGCAGAGCGTGCAGGCTCTCCACCCGCCTGGCCTCATACGACACGAAGCCATACGATATGATGCAGAAAACCTGCTCGATCCAAATCTTGCTGCACATCCACATGTGTTACAGCAACCAGTAAGTCCGTCTTGCACCCAGCAATAAACCTACTTCTATAGAAAAAAATAAACAGCCAGGAAGTACATCAACACACACAACTACATGCATTCAAATATACATGTAAATCTAATTAAGATGCATAAAACTAAAAACAAAAAAGAAATGGCTGTATTAAGTTTTCTTTACTAAAGCAATGTAACCTCAGAATTAAGGGTTACAACGTGATGACTGAATGACTTTCCTGAACATAGTGTACCACTAATTTGAATAATTAAAGCATTAATTAGACTAATAGCTCTCAGTGTTTTGGTACTAAGGTAGTAAAACTATATGTACAAGAAACAGACAACTCTTAAAATGAAACAGAGGTCTTATGACTTACACACACTACCCGTAATGCACAATAACACCTCCACATTCGCAAATGTCATCCTGATTCACTGCAGATATTTTACATAATTCACAGTTGGGTTTCAGATCAGACAGGACATTTAGGGAGTTGGAGGCCTTTTAGGGTCTTGTTACAAAAATCAGGAAGTGAATCTTTAAGTTAGAAGAAAAACTTTAATTTTAGTATTGTTTCTTTTTTTCTTTTTAATTTCAGTTAAAAAAACATTTTTCTTTGAATAGAGACTGACAGCTTAGTGAAGCTCGCTCAGAGTCACAACTGCATGTTTCGACCCTCCAGTTGTGAACCAATGAACTAGAACAGAGATTTCTGTTTTTGCACAGCACTAAACTGCAGTATGTCTAACCAAGTGAACGTGCAATTACAAACAGAGGTGGTTAAAAAGGCAACAGTCAAAAAAGAAAATCTTATTTATATCACACACTTCATACACTTAAGGCAATACATGCAAAAGTGCTAAACCTGCATTAAAAGAAAAGAAATGGATGGAAGAATGAATCTAATTTATGTGCTAAATAAATTCAGATGCATCCAGCACTGCTCACAGGCAAAACCTTAACATGATTAGGGTTGTTATTGTAAATAATCTATTCATTTATAACATATGAAATGCATGTACTGTTGACTGGCATATTAAAAAAAGTATTTCCATGTCACTTTTCAACTTACACTTACACACTTCGTTTCAGCTCCACAGCTTGTGTTTGTGCTGTTTGTGTCCTTAACAAACAAGCCACATAGCATGTGAGCTTTTAGGCCACATTAGGGTTTCTACTTGTGAGCAAGTGAAATTTCCCTTTTGATTAAAAAAAAAAAAAAAAAAAAAAAAAAAAACGGCTGTCACTTTTACAATGGGAGCAAAATGTGCTTGAGTGTAGAAAAAAAGTGTTAATGCATCAATTGAAACGTGATATGAGAATACAATGTGAAAACCACTATTCACACATGGAATTCACATGTAGGTTTCCACCACTGGGTGTTTTTTGTAAAGGATGTTATGAATATGTTGCCCACCCAGGCATACAGTTATAGCAGTGTCCACACATCACAGCTCATGCAGAGACAGATGTTGCTATATTCTTTCATTTACAATGACAATTATTTTTTGATTAAAAACTCACATTTCAAACCATGTGCCTGATATTAGGAACAGTAACTTTAGCTGATAAATAATTCTAATAGCCTAAAAAGTTGAGTAGTGGGATAAAAGTATAAAGTAGGTTAAAATGGAAATACTCAAGTGCAAGTCCTGCAAAAATGTACTTAAGTACAGTACTGTATACTCTCCGGCTTTGAATATCAAGCTAAAGCTCAAGTGAAGTCCTGCAGTTTGGAGGTCACTCACCGCATTTTAAGGATCCAAGCATTTCCCAGCATGTCATGTTGTATTCTGTGAAATGATGCATGAATTTACTTTTATGGCATAACTGTGTAACTATTAAAAAATGGCATACTGACTTGATGATTAAATACAGAATATACATTATATGTAACATTGTCATGCACTTTGTTTGTTTTTTTTTAAACCTTTGAGCAACATAAATGGACACTGTATATGATCAGCAATTATCCAAGTTTAATTATTTCAAATGTTTTGATTTAATATTTAAAAGAATTAATTCTGACTTGTGCTGTAGGTAGCATTCTTTCCTCGGACTGTGTATACACCACACGTGTCTCAGCGCAGCTCTGATGATGAAGACCATGGAGGACGAAGTCCCCCGCTGGAGGTGTCTGATGAGGAATGTCTGAGAGATCGTGCCCCTTATGTCACTCCTGGCGAGATGGGTAAGGAAACAGATTTTCAAGCCATTTCATACCGTGTGTGAGCACTCCAGTTCTCTACTGAGCAGTTAACACCAATACTTTAAGACGCAGCAACTGTGCTGGCCATGTGAAGACTCTCAGTCATCCAGGTCATGGTATATCTAGACGTGCTAAGTCTCTGGACTTGCTTTACATTCAAGAATCTGAACCAAGTCTAGTTGTCTTTGACTTAGTGCTTACTTGTGCTGGCGGTGCTCCTATTGTCAATAAGTGGTTATGCTATATCACAATGCATATTGTTTGTCGATTCCCTCCACAAAGTGGAGAGATATGTGCAGTTGCTTTGGTATTTAACCTTCATTTAAATAGAATAGTGTGTGAGTGGGCATTAGTGCTTTCTACTTACCATGTAAGAATGAGAGCTGCTCTAAAGGCCCTTTCTAGATTACTGGCCAGTGTCCTCGCATTAGGATGGTGGAGGTTTGGTATTGCGTCATGTCAGTTTTTTGTTCTGCTGACAACTTGAGATGCACTTTTAGGACGAGCTACTAGTTGCACAATTGCTTTCGCACTGAGGGTGACGCATCTTCAACAGAAGTGGGCTCACAAAAAGACAATGTTATATCCTTAGTCTCCAAGGTTGGATTTTTACATGGGATGGAAATAATCGTGGAAATAATCCAATGTTGTTCTAGAAGAATGGCAGGCTATCCCTAGTGGCTACCTTTTGGGCCTTCTGATGAGGTGCCCACTTGTTATAGAACTGTGGAGTGATGTTTTGGTCAGCTCTGTCTAGTTTTACTACATAAATGTGACTGACAGCACCCTGTTTGTTGAACAGGCCTCATGTCCAGCACAGCAGGATTGGTTTACTATTCCACCTGAGTCAAAGGGACCATTTGTCAGTAGGCCTTAGTTCAGGATAATGTATTTTTTCACTTCATAGTTAAATAAAGTGTGCTGGCTCACTAAACAGCCTCCACTTCCTCTTTTGGCAAGCTTAAGATCTGACACGACAAGTTGAGCCTAAACAGTGTTTGGTACACAGTGTCTACAGTAGTTATAGTCAAATGGTTTGTGTGTAGTATACCTTTGTAACTAGTTGTATTAGGTTTTATAAGTACCTACAGTAGGTGAGCGCTTCAGTAGTGGTGACTGTATGTCATCTACTTCACTGGTACTTACAGCAGACAACAGCCAGCTCTTTCCATTCGTGTTAATGCAATGTCATTTTTTAATGTGAACATGGACAGCACATTTTCAATATGTAGGTGCAGGGGTGAATAGAGAACAGACAGATTGATAAGTAAACATGGTTCTCTGAGTGTGTGACTATTTGTTGGGCTCGGGCATCTCAGAAACATGTTTCAGACAAGTTTAACCACAGAGGCAATGCATGGTCCTTAAATGACCATTTATTGAGACTGTACACTGTGGGGACAAGACCATGCACATATGGAATAAGCAGTGGCGAGCCTCTGAACTCGGAGAACCATGGTTATATATGTAACTTTCAATGACAGTCGAATTTCAATGACAGTAGGATTGTAAACTACAATCAGATTTAATTTTTATTAGCATGTTTATAAAATGGAAACAATATGGAGTACAGACAGGCTGTAATTTACGATTTTACTGAATTTTTGAAGTTGCAGAGTATATGAGAACTGTCTGAGCACAAAGACTGGAATGATATGACAATAAAATGAGTTATTTTGTCATTAATCTTATTTTTGATATAGGTATACAGTATGTAGAGTTTCTAGTTGAAACTCAGCACTTGACCTTTGAACTGTATCAATGGGCTACAGACACATCTGTAAAGTGATGTGAAGAACCTGTATACAGCATGTGTAATATGTAAGCATTGATTAATCTGCTTCAGAAACAGTTTTTATGTCATAAGCAAGTTTTATCACGTAGCTCAGTGACAGCGTAATTAATACTAATACTGGCAGTATTCCTCAGAATTTTGATGGGTTTTCTTGTGTAGTCATCAAACTGTATTGCAAAGCTATAAAACTTGAAGATATGTAGTATTCTGCCTTTGCTACCCACAAAAGAATTTTATTTTTTATTTTTTTCAACTAATTTGTCTGATGTCTGTGGTCCCAAATTCTACTTAAACTCTGTATAACTGTATAATTGATATGACTGTATAGACTCAACTGAATCTCACAAAAATATATAGTTTCATCTACTGTTCCCATGCCTGGGAATGAGACAGATTAACCTTTTTAAATTTGTTTTTCAAATCTTTTACATTATTACAATGTAATGTTGCTAAATTTGTGAGCAACAAAGAGTTATAATACATACAACTCTCTGATGTCTCCAAAAGGCAATAAAAAGAAGATCCGATTGTACCAGTTCCTGTTGGACCTTTTAAGAAACGGTGATATGAAGGACAGTATCTGGTGGGTGGACAGAGATAAAGGGACATTCCAGTTTTCTTCCAAACACAAAGAGGCACTCGCACACCGTTGGGGAATCCAGAAAGGCAACCGCAAGAAAATGACCTATCAGAAGATGGCTCGTGCTTTGCGCAACTATGGCAAAACTGGAGAGGTGAAAAAAATTAAGAAGAAACTAACGTACCAGTTCAGTGATGAGGTCCTGGGGAAGAGTCATCTAGAGAGAAAACCATATATGTAGGCAGGAAAGATACTGAAATGTCATGATTGAATCAAGTGTTGACATTACAGCTATAGTTTCTGGTGTTCGATGCTTAATCAACCTTGCTGTTCTGATAAAAACAGGAGCATTTTGTGAATAGCACCAATAATGCTGTACAGTGGGACCAATCCTTTGATAATACTGGTAATGCAGCATAAAAGTATGGAACAACAGACATAATCCCCAAAGCCTTTCTGTATAACAAAAGATATTGGCGACCACTTAGAAACTGTCATCCAAAGTAGAGAACTAATACCACAGAAACCTCAGTGTGGTTTATAGGTCAGAAAGTAGCAATATGGAAATATGCGTATGGAGATTTGTGAATAGGTATATAGATTTGAAAAAAGCATAATAAGAATCTCCTGTTTGTGGAATTTTGTCTCTTCTGCCTCCGCTCAGATTTTCCCTGAGATAGGCAAAACCTGCACAATAAACCCTCCCCACTTTGCAGAGCAGCAATTTCGTTGTGAAAGTGGGAACTGCAAGTAATGTGATGCTAGGGTTGAGAGAGATGTTTGCCAAACATATCTAATAAGTCAATAAATAAATAACAACAGCAGTAAAAGAATGAGGAAAATTTCCTGACTATCACACAAATTCAACTATTCACTGGATATCACACTTTAAAGGAGCTATTCGTAAATTTTGCTATTGCTACATAGTCTTCATTAGCATTAACAGCTGTTTACTTACCAGTCTTGAAGAAATGTTACGATTTCAGCATCAAACTTTATTCCTTTACTCACCATGAGCTGTCTCCAGCAGTGGAAAGCATCTCTTGTCTCTATCACATTTTTTCTTCTACTTAAGTTAGCACGCTAACCAGCTAGCCCTGGTACCTCCCGTCACTTTCCGATAGCAACTCACTGTAGCCTCCAATCTGCCCTGAAGATGCAGTGCTGCTCAGAGGGTGTACTAAAACCTCCCGTCATGTAAACGCAATGACAGCCGAAGCTCTTGTCAAGCGACAATCACCACCATCTGCACCCAGCAAGAAAGCACGTTTAGTGGCAGAGAAAACTTACAAATAGCTCCTTTAAATCATTAGATCAAAAACACCCAGTTTATTATTTGGCAAAAACTAAAAGAGTCTAATACATTCAGTCAAATTTATATCAATGAGGGTAGGCTAAATAACTTAAACACCTTATGCCAGTGCATAATTACGTTCATGCATACAGAGAAACCATCAGCTTTAAAACAGCAAAACTACTACTGGCCGACATCTACAATGAAAGTTCTCAGTAAACTCTATAAGATCACAGCTGTAGACCTAAATACACATTCATAAACCTTTCTTCACATTTTCAAATTTGGGAAGATTTTATCTTCTTTGTGAGGTTATTTTTACAGGATATATTTTTTTAATTTGATGTTAAAATAAAGAATTTAAATATTTTTGGAAGTATGATGAGAAGATTGATACCATTCTCATGAATGTTTATTAAATATGTAGCTATGGCCAGTAGGTGGTTATCTTAGCTTAGCATTAAGACTGAAACAGACCTGGCTCTTTCCAAAGGTAACAAAAACTGTGTACCACTTGTCTATCAGTTATGCAGCTCAGTACTAAACTCATAATATGTCTTTTGTTTAATCTATATAAAAACTAAATGTAAAAACAACACTTTGAGGAAGTTATTTGAATTGATTGTCTGTGAGCAGTCACTTCCTGGAGTGTTGTCGTGACAGTGGGGTTGCCAGTACATCAGCAGATACTGGGTCTAGCTTCATACTAACTGTATCGACATGACAGTGGTATCAACCCTGTCGTTGAACACATTCAAGTGAAGAACAGTCATTGATAGTGTACGATCGCAAAGAAAAAGGGGAAAGAGAGAGGGAGTGTTGCATTTACATGGTATGCATCTTAGACCATAGGTCACTGTGATGCCCAGTATGCTTTTTTAACACGTGGATGTACACGTATCAGTGCATAATCTATTTGGAAATGTCTCTTTAAACATTTTCAATATTAATTGAAATTTTGTTTCATTGTGTGTAACCACTATTGTGCTCAGAAAGATTATGGTTTGAAAACTTCCTGGTAGGCCTGGGCCTTCCTCCTACCGTGTCTGACTCGCCTTGTTGGACCTGCATAAGTTCTCTGTTAATTATAGTTAGTACTCCTGTTTGTATATATTTCCATTTCCATTTAATATTTAAAACAGCAAGGTGGCACAAATAAGTCATTAATGAGATAAACTAACCTGAGCATTCACTGTGATTAGGTTAGATATAATACTATTATCACAGTTATTTGCATGATAATAAAATGGCTTGTACAAAAACACAAAACCCTGTATGTTAATTGTAAGAATTGCTTGTAAAAAATAAATTGTTCATCCATGTATGTGTATTGTAACTTTTTCAGCGATGACTGTGATAACATCTCATAATAGAGGGAAAGCGCAAAAGACTAAAAAAAAAAGGAGAAGGAGAATAAGAAGAAGGAGAAGAAGAAGTAAATATTGTATAAAGTTGTATAGTGCGAGGTTTACAGATGAGATCTCTCATCTTTCATTACAGCTATAAAGATAACTGGTAAATTATGAGGAACTGTGAGGGTGAAGTGGCTTGTCACTCAGCTCTTATGTATATCGACCTGTGTGCCCTGACACACTTACTTTACTACCAGCACAGTTCCATTTTAAGAGAAAAATAGGAAGTAAGCAACCTATGTTCATTTGCAACATTTCAAAACCACTTTACAGATGACATTCACACCAATAAAATATGAGAAAACACTAAAATCCTACATGAAATGAGTCAATAATAAATAACATAATACTGAATCACTATTATACAAAGGAGTAACTTGCTAAAATGTAATGTGCAGTGTGTAAATATAAAAATAATGCAGCACCTGCTGTCCCAAGAGCCAACAGCTCCCCTCAATGGTGAAGTGGTAATTGATACCCATGACAGCTGAGAAGATGAAAAGAAATGGCCTTGAATACAACACAATACAACACAACACAACACAATCCAACACAACACAACAAAATAAAGATTTCACAATAGAATATACTAGCACAGGAAGGATGTGAGGAATTCTGAATAAAGACCATACTATAGTATAGTATAGTACAGTATAGTGCATTATAGTATAGCTTAGTATAATATAGTATTCAAGTATATTCAAGAAAAATGCTTTAATGGCTGTACTTGTTGAATGACAAGTGTTGTAAAAGCAGTCATGGAATACTACACTATACTATAATTTATTGTACTATATACTATACTATACTATTCAATACAATGATACACTATATTTACATACTATACTATATTTGATTGCTTTATACTACACTACACTACACCATACTATGCTATACTGTTTTATTGTACTACACTATACTGCACTACACATACTATATTTTATTGTACTGTCCTATACTATACTGTACTACACTATACTACACTTTACTATACTATGCATACAGTACTATATTTTATTGTACTATACTATAGGCTACTATACTTAAAATGTCTTTACATGTAAATGGACTGTATTATAGTGTTATTTCTTACATTTTTCTGTTGTATTTCTTCATATAAATAGTGAAACAATATTTTGCCAGCCTTTAATTTAATTGCATAATTACCACCAATTATTCCATTTTTTTTAATTATTCTTTTATTTTTAAAGACACCTGCAAATATAGAAGGTATGGAATTATTTTAAACACCTCATCCATTAAGGGAAAAACACCCTCATATTTGCCAACAGATAAACTGTGGATCAACATATTTCAAACACAGTCGGATTCATTCTTAGATTTACAAGGTGACAGGGTGCAGCACAGATGTGGGGAGAGCAAACAAACTTTTTTTGTGGATCCAAGTTTCTAAATATAACCTTGCCTTACATCCCTTCCCCGCCCTCTCAAGGCCTATCATTCAGCCGAGGTGTTGGAGGAAAGGATGGTTGAAATATAGCCTGAGGTCAAACATGACTGGGGGTGGGGTGGAAGCCAAGTTGCTGCTGGGATGGGATGAGCTTTGATGGGGAGTATGAGGGGGTGGTTATTGTTTTTTGGACACTGTGTTGGGCCTAGAAAAAAAATGTCAGGAGAGGTGGGATGGTTCATGAAAGGAGGGGAGGCCATTTGCAAGCAGCAGCACTATTAAAGGCAGAGGGTTGAGATAGACAGCAGACTGTTTAGGAAAAGTGAGTCATACTGTGGAGGAGTGGAGACCATTCAGGATGCCAGAGCCAGTCAAAAAAGCAGGTAAGTGTGCTCATTCAGCTACTTTTCATTGTCTGTTAATCTTGTTGTCAGACCACAAGTCTGTTTGGAGCAAAGTAATCTATCAAGAAGTCTGTAGTACATATTATGAAAATTGTGAACTTTCAACCACACTAATTGTGTTATCAACATGCTGCAGCAGAATATCTAGTGGTAAACATTTCTTCTTTTGTGCAGTCTTACAGTCTTCTTCTTAAACTGAAACTTCCGCTAAGAAAATAACTATGTGAAATTACAATATGTGAGAAAATATTTGACCATGTTGGGCCACCACCTGGCTCTTAAGCAACTATAAACCACAACCAAACCATGTACTTGAGATCTGTCCATTTTCTTTTTAGGATAAACAGTCATATACTGTACTGCTTGACTATCTGCCACAGTAATGTGAAAATGTGTCATGTTTTTGTGTTTGTGTTGAATTGTGTAATATCAATGGTCATGTCACAATTTTGGTCATTTGGTCACAATTAAAACCTTATTTTTGCTATTTATCAGCATATATAGAATATATTGTATGCTATAATTGTATCACATGTTTTAAATTAAACTTTATTTATACAGGGAAATTGAAGTTACAGCAGCAGGAGGACAAGAATAAATGCACTGACAAGTAATACAAAAATTTAAAAATCTATATTGCTACATGCATTACAAAAATTTACTACATACAAATTAGGCATTAAAAAACTAAAACAAACTGTGTAAAATACTATGAATATACCAATATAAATAGTAACTATAAAGTCTGTGTCTGCAGATAGTGGCAAATGCAGTTTAAAATAAAGTCATAACATTGCAATAGCAGTAGCAGTACAGATCTGTTCCTCCAACACATATAATTCAAATATATTCCTTGGCTTAATACAGTGGGACAACTTGCTTGGTAATATGATGTACCAATACTCACATAGCCAGTAGCCCAAATCACAATATAGTGCATGCAACTATCCATCTTCACTTCAAAGAGCTCTCCAGTGGTGTGATAGTTACTCTAAGCCCCTCTTGGCCGCGTCCGGAACCCAGTTATACGTCACATGGTCCAGGTGGAAACATCGTCTGATGCTGGAAATGGACACTGTCACATTTCCAGCATCCCTGATCCAAAAATGCCTGACGGGATTCCAACTTGACAAATGACTTTCCACAGTTTTTTTTTTCCCTCTCTTCAGTGGGAATGGATAGCTGTTTGCTGTTTGTGGAGTGAGGACGTATCATGTATCAAATGACACAGAGCAGCCCAAGTGGCCAGCTTTTGTGTGCTAAGACTTTCAGTGTCGGGGATTTGTTCAGGACAATAACAGTTATGACTGTCTTGAGCCTGAGGTATTATTATCAATTATAAATAAATAACCTGCAATCAACAGGATGTTTTCAGCTGCATTCTTTTTTTTGCTAGTCTAAGTAAACTTTGTCAAGTTGTCTGTATATTGCTGTAATAC